TTGTAGTTGATATTTGTGGTGGTGGTTTTGTTGTAGTTATTGTTTTGGGTGGCGGTTTTGTAAAACGTTCCTTTCTACTCGTACGCTTCATTAGTGGCAAAAGTTTGTAAGTCCGTTGCAAAGCCTATCAGAGGCAAGATTTTTAAATTTCTGAGTTCATTAGCTATTCATGTGTATTGAGTAATGATATAATGTTATAAGTCTAGCGATTGGCATTTTCGTATTAATTTACTAAATGAAACTCAAAACTGATAGAGAATCAATTTCAATGTATTAACCGAAAAACAATGAAGAAATATTTTCAGTGTTTTCCCTTTCTCTTATTCATTACCAAAACTGAGATCAACTAGACAAAGGGTCATTGACACAAGCAATCGGAATTGCAAAATGCATTATCACACACACCCACACGCTCACACAGACACAAATTAACAATTTTTATTAGGCAAATTACTCATACAAATGATTAATAGCTATAAATCCAACTAATTGACATAGATTTACAATTTAAATATCAAAAACCTGCGAGTCAACAAAACCCGGACACGCAAAGGAAGGAGTTCGAAATAAAAAGGATTCTAACGATTTAAAATGAAAATGTGGTCCCTTTTAAGGATAAAACTTCTCACCACATTCGTCTACTCTCAAATCTTATCGTGACATAGCTGGAGTTACACTTCCTGGGAGTGAGAGTGGGAGGGGGGGGGTTGGGGGAAGGATATATTTTCTCGCATTGACTCTGTGATATGAAGATTTGATATGAAGTATTATTTCCTTTTTAATTTTATTGTTTTTCCTTGGACGGTTTCATAGACGTGTTGTTATGCTTGTTACTGATATTTCAATGTCACCACTTTATTGAATAAGCAAATACGATTACACCAGAAACGTTCTGCACAGAAAATGTCTTACACTATGTGACCTTGTAGTGGGTAATCTATTTATTTTAATGATTCAAACTGTTCAAATAATTTTTAAAATGTTCATAATTAAAAATAAATTGTTCTTAAGTAAAATTGTTCAGTGATTAGAGCAACTGATCGTAAACCAGGATATCCAGGATCGATTTCGGGCCGAGATGATTCAATCTATGAACAATTTAAATTATCCCCCTTTCCTTTCTCCGTTTTTCACCATTACCCCCCCCCCCTTTCTCGCCCTAATCTAATGATTTCGCTCTCCGGTGTGGAACCGCGACCTGGGTTGTGGTGGGCGGCGCCCCACGCCAGGGGCGCGTGGGCTGGGCCCTGCTAAGCGCAGAATGCGGAAGCTCCAGCGCCCGGAGCGATGCCCCCCCCCCGCCGCACCCGTTGCGCAACCGTGCGCTTCTGCCAGCGGCGCCCAATTGGATTCCCACGTAATCCGCCCCTGCTTCACAGAAATGCACACGGGAAGCAAGCAGATACTTCAATGTGAAGTACAGAATTTTTCACAAGACCTCCCGAACTAGATAAAATAGGTCTTTAAAACAAAGATTGTGCAAAGTTGTGTCATACGAAACATAATAAACAGGCTGTTATAAAATATTTATCAAATGTTTTCATTGTCTATGAAGCACAATATGACACTCGTAGGCGAAGGCCTCATCCGAGATTATACAAGCAAGGTCTATTTTCTGCGTGTAAAATCTAGGCTAGAATATCAGAAGGGGATATTTATCGCCGATTTGAGATACAGACCCGGAAATGTGTTGAATTTGGTACGACTCACTTCCTTGTACAGAATTGTGCAATTATTTGGACGGTGTAGCCCACACACAAAAGGCAATCAAAATCTCGTCGCAGATGCGATTGAACACACGTCCGAAATAAAATATAAAAAAGTTGGTGGGTAATTGATGCTGTGAAAGTAGAGTTGACTTCCTCGTGAGTGGAAAACGTGAGGGAATTATGAAAATTCGGGATATTGAAGATGGTAATTTTGTTGCATAAATATTATTATATGAGAAAGTAAATTTAATAGCAACCCGGGTCTTTATAATAAGTTGAATAAATTTGCAACAACAGCGAAAATGAAACAATGCCTTACGTAACTAACGTTTAATTAACTATTTCGCGGAGAAAGACATCGTGCTCTCCTTTCTCTCAACACTGACTACCTTATGTATGTAGGTCAATGACATTACAAAGTTACTGCTTTCTTTCTACAAGCATAATGTAAACAATATTGTTAGAAATAAATTCATTATTATAAATGTAATAAACTCTTCTCTAGCAACATTATTCTTTCAAAGAAGATTTGTTACGACACAGCTCGGCTCACGAAGCACAGGGGAGGAGGCTTGTGTTGGAAAGCACTTCTGTTCGTTGCGGGTGAATCTCAAGTGAGTTATTTTGGTTTTGTTAACGCCATCGTCACAGCCATTTATGTTTTTGATACGATTTTGGATAAATCTATGTGAAGCTGTTGGACTTCCATGCGAAGCAAGACGAACTGATACGGTTCCTGTATCCAGACTTAGAACGAGATCGCCGATTTACAAACACTACTTTTGAGGTATTATTCTTACTTTGAAATAAAACCATTTGAAAAGGAAACGGAACTTCCACTAATTCTTTGGTCGTCGAATTAACGATAATGTCGAATTACCGAGAATGCATAAAGATTTGAAGTACTACGTACTTCTTGTGCATTCCATATTTTACATGGAAATGCACAAGACACTCACTTATTCTACTTTTATCTACACTTAATAACATGTAATTTATGACCTATACAAATTCGATCCGTTATCCACAATGTGGCGTAATTTTTGTGTAGATTTGCAGCAATAATTTGTAATTTATGAATCGTAAACTTCTAATTACACAGTTACTATCACGAACCTGGCTTATTATGCAATCAAACGGACCAAACGGAATCTTCCAGCAATTTTATTTCGGTGGAAGTCGCGAAATTCATCTCAACAGCAAAATCTGACAGTGGATGGAATGCAAGGTTTAAAAAAGGAGTTTTCATTATTCGAACAGTCAAATTGCAAAACAACTTTGCAAATTTATTGGTTTATATTGAACTCTTGTATTTGTTTGTGTTTCTTGCGATGAAATTGGAGGTGTCATCTAGTAAATGATTTGTATTTTATTGTCAGTTTATTTTATTTTTTTGCTTATATTGTCTTTCGTACTCGTTTCTATGCTTTAGTTTCACTAAATTTGAGTTTTCAATAAATATTTCATTACATAAAATGATGTCTGGTAATTTTATTTGAAATAATTTTTAAAAATCATTAAAACGTTAATAATGTTATGCAACTAGTTTGTAATATTATACTTTGTTGCATTAGTATTTGTTTTGAAAATGAGCTTCGGAGATAATTTCTACGTAGTAAAGCATCACTATAAACTTGTTACACACACTCTTTTATAAATGCTGTTACGCAAAAATAAACAAAATTAATTTCAAATTTCAAAAATAATTTTTGAAGCAGTTTTGCAATTGGCAACTTAGAATGTTTGCTTTATGACTTCACGCAGAGACGACGGCCGGTGAGGACGAGCGATGAGGACGGGTGTGACGAGGGCCAGGGAGGGCGCGGGCAGGCTGATGGGCCTAGCCATAAAATGCCCTTTTATGAACGATTTCTTGCAACGGAAACTGTCGTTTTTGTAACGCTGGTACACAAAAAAAAATGTTTTCTACATTTTATTTTCAAGAGCGTGATACTTTGGTTTTAAAAAACCCCGGTGGGATTTCGTGGGTTGGGACAACAAGCCGTCCGTGTTGGAAAGGCGCAGCAGCAGGCGCGTAGCCAGCGCGAGGGGAGGGAGGCGGTTGGCGGGGGTTTTGGGGGGTGGCTGGGGTGGGGGGGCGGCGTGCCGGGCATCAGCGCCGTGGAAGAAGCAACCAAGTGTGGCCGGGGGGGGGGGGCGGAGGGCGCGTGGGGCTGCAGCGTGCGGCGTCGTAGCCGGTTCGATTGGCTATGCGCCAGAAGCGAGAAGCGCGCCTAGTCAATGATGGGCGCAAAATTCTCTGGAGGACCTGGAAGGGAGGGAAGAGCCCGTTCTAGCGGGCTTAGGCAGGAACGACGGTGGTGCTGCTTAGTTAATGATGTCAGTGTTTTTTAGTTATTCGCAGTGCTTGGGTGAGTGGTATCGTTATCTTATTGTTTCGCTACCCGCCCCCCTCCCCCCACACACAAAGTTTAGAAAAGCTCACGGGAAAAGGTCTCTTTTCAAATCAAAAAATATGCAGCCCTACATATCTGAATGCAGAGAAGTGTTAAACCATATGCAATAGCCCATTTTTAGTAATTGAAGCCTTTTTATGCAAGACCATACTCAATGACGCTTCGTTGTCATTTCTAATAATAAGAGTGAAAATAGTAAACATTTGAAAATCTGTAAAGTAATATCAATGTACTTGTCATGGGCGTGGATAATACTAACAATACACGATTTAATGGAATGGAACCAAAAAAGGACATTAAAATCGGGGAACCACTTCCACGTATACTTCAATAACATATTTGTAGAACAGTTTGTATGGTAACACAGAACATTTCTTTTCGTAATATGAACGGCAAAAAAGGTGCTGCTATATAAAGTAGCTCGTAAATAACACACATTTAATAGCGTTAGGTCCCTTGCAGTGCTGCTGTCAGTCGTGTCGGTATGCAGTGGCACACTGGTTATGAAAATACTGTCGGTTTGCGCGGTATGAGAAGAGGTGGAAAATCACAATCCAATATGTACATTTTTCACTTGAAATCGAAACTGTATCAATGTTTTTGTATTCTTGTGTTCCTAGGTATCTTACAAAAACCATAGATTTCTGCGCACGTTGGAATTTGATAGAGCAGATTTCAAAATCTCCGCAACTGAATTACCATTGTTACTCGTACTTGTTGAATAGCCATTAAAACAGTATTAGAAACTTGATAATTTAAATTTTGTGTTTTCCTTTCATCTTCAAGAAAATGCTGCAGTAAACGCCTAAATTGATTCTATTCGTACCCTCAAAAAAATCAACGACGACTAACGTGTCATGTTCTTTTTTCGCAGGTTCCTACTACAGTGCCTAGAAGATCTGGACCAAAGTCTTCGGAAACTCAACTCACGGCTGTTCGTGGTCCGAGGACAGCCAGCTGATGCACTACCTAAGTTATTTAAGGTTGGTACCGACATGTCTTTTTTTTGGGGGGGGGAGCTCTCCTTAGCACATTAAGCAGCAAATTTCGTCTCGCGACTTCAAACAATTTTGTGCCCTTAATCCTTCAGAATCTCTGATAAAAGTTATGAAAAATCAAAGCTTTAGTGAAAGAAAGTTTAACTTTGAATTATTTTTAACTACTTTTTTCTCATAAAATCAGTCTTTTGACGGTTCACTACCCTACTATATTGTGTCTTAAACGTGGGGATGTATACAAAGAGGAAAGTCGGAAAATTGCTATTGAAGTAATCTGCAAACTTTTTCTTGCATTGTTCAGATTTCATGTTATTTCAATTTATTTAAACTGAATTTTTTTTCACAACGCACCTTATATTCCGTACAAATATTTATAAAGTAGATCTTCACAATATTTCTTGAACAACGAGATGTTCGATGTGCCACAATAAGCAAGGTCATTTCCTTTATAACATCGGATTTTTGAATCGGTGAAAACCAGATCGGTAGTGACATTTTATACATTCTGAGAAAATCATTTAATTCAATATTATTATAAAGTCGTGGTACTTTGTTTCATTATTAAAATCACGGCATTTAAACCTCAGATAAAATGTACATATAACAGAATTAAACACTAAATTAAGTTCATTATGTTACGCATTCAGAATTCTTTCAAATTCTGTCAGCCTTCATGCAACTCTTAGCGTGTATTTTACAAATGTACATTCCGGCCTGAGATGTGGCATAATATTATCGGGAAGCTCATCACGTTGTACCCAGACCTTTAGATTGCAAAAGAAAATAATCGAATAATGAAAAAAATGTCATCCGCATGATCCCTGCAAGATTCTCTTCATTGAGCTTGCAATCTTACCATTGACTTGCCTATTTATTTACGAATATGTAATATTTGTCAAAACTGACTTACTTAACGCGAACGGGTGGAAACATATTTTCATGGAACTCATTACCAGAAATCCACTTACAATACATGTACGTTACTGTACAATGCATTTCCAGATGATATTAAACAATTGAAGTCGGTACAGAAATTTCGGTTAAAAGTAAAACATTTTCTGCTGCATAATTGTTTCTATACAGTTAAAGACTGTACTGATCATCAAAAAGAAAAATGTTTATTTTAACAAAACAGTGATATATAATGGATTAGTGAAATAAATATTTTAAAAAATACTTAATATGCTTGTAACTAATAATGTACTAAGCTTCCGGGTCAATGACCCCTACCTCGATAAGGATTTTGTCCAGTTTCCCTGATACATTGCGCAGTCTTAAACATTTCAAACCGTATGCTATTGTTTTCGAATATAGACTCGACTGTTTGCACTGCATCTGCACTGCAACACTCTTTTCAAAATTTGAGCTATCATTTCTGTAGCCCTTGAAATTCATAAGAAAATATATAGTTATATGGTGGACTCGATCAAAAAACAAATCTATCGTTCTAAGGATTAAGTGTAGAAGTACAAAACTAAATATCTATTTCTTGTTCCTGAGCATTTTACAGAAAACTAATGATTTAAAAGGATAAGTGTTATTCAGATTTTTGTCACTTCGGTTTGACTCAATAGTGTAAGAAAAACGCAGAACCGGAAGATATGAAATCGAAAGGTTTACCTCTCTCCTGAAAGGTAGCTATTTTTGACTAATTCCTGGCACAAAAGAAATACTAACCGTGAACTCAATTCATATTAAAACAAATTTTTGCAAGGACCCTAACTCCATCAAAAGCTCAAAAAATGAATTATTTGAACAATTGTGTCAATAACTCTCGGAGATCTACAGGAGATATCGCGGGGCAGTAACACAAGTATAGAATGTCCAAACCGTCGGAGACGCATGACTCCACTGAATTTCTTTCTACTGGAGCAACACTCTTGCAATGGCTCACTGGCAACATCAGTTGCCTCTGCAGCATCGTTGATCGGATGGGTCCTAATCGGGAGTTCAAATTCCGACGGTGGTGGACACTAGCTATATCGATTTTCACGACTGCCTGGAGGAGAATTCTAGCGGCCGACTGCTCTGATCAATAGTTTCTCCGATCAACACCAGGCAAATGCCGAAGCAGTACCCTAACAAACTGCATTGTCTTCTTCTCTGGCCTTCACTCACGCAGACAGTGCATATGCACCACAGCATCGTACGTGACGAGAGAGCTGTCGGGAGGCCAGAGCGTGTGCCGGGTGGACCAAAATCCCGCTACGGGATGTATCTGGAGAAGGGAAAAATTACGTTCAGGCCGTCTAGGTCCGCCACGGACCTCCCGTTTCAGCAGGGGAGGAACACCGTTACTGCCCATGATGTAGCATGCACTACACATACGGGGCGAATGACCGTAGCAGTTGATGTCCACTAAATACTCATGGACCGTTCACGCGGGCGCTCGTCTATTGCAGGAGTGGGGCACCACCAACTTGACGTTCGAGGAGGACCCCGAGCCGTTCGGCCGCGTGCGCGACCAGAACATCATGGCCATGTGCCGCGAGATGGGCATCTCAGTCGTCAGCCGCGTCTCGCACACGCTGTACCGCCTCGAGAGGTGAGTACTCGCGTCCTGCCCCCCTCTCCCCCCTCCGGTACTACACAAGCCACTTTTCTTCTTTTAAAAAAAACTCGTTTTTTCTCTCTTTTCCACATATTTCAGATGGCATTGTTTTTAATTTTAAACTTGTTCCTGATTACGAATGCTCTTTAATTAACATTCTCCAAGAAATGCTCTGAACATCTTTTAAATCAGATAATTGGCTTAAGTGACCTAGCAATCATGCAGTCCGGAATCCTAAGTGACACTTCTGCACAATATTTTTCATTAAGATTTTTTCAACGCATTTCAGTCGTTATTATTTGTTGTATTTTTTTCTTTTTTAAAAATTAAGAATCCTCTTTACTTCTAGAATTTTGAAAAAAATCCAAACACTAAACCAACAAATCTTTTGAAAAACTCCAAAAAAGATCATTTGGAATAATGAACAAATCAGATTGAAAGAAAATCATCTTTAACATCATACATTTTTAATCATTTGCGAAAAGTGGAGGTATTGTAAACAACATGCCGAATCTCTGTCAAAGGTATTAAGAAAAGGACCATTTCGACCACTCATCATACCGCCTTGATTAAACTAGGAATGGCTAGGAATGGTGGGGTTGTCTTTACCTTCCACGTGTCAGTCACATATACGTAAAAACATTCACGGGTAGATCAAACCCATACCGCATCAGGCCATTGCCAAATCCCACAGGACTGACATTAATGTCAAATGACGTCAACTATTAGCCACATTTACTGTAATAATATACCTGAAATGACTGCGGGGGTGTTAGGAGCGTAGAGGGTCTAAGCGTTCATTCATGCAGAAGTAGCTCTAAATTTACCTGGAGATTCTAAAATGCAATAGACGTGTCTCTACTCAGAATTAAGAGACAGTATATGCATCAGTGTTGCCAGATAGACTTGCGCATTTTCTCTCAAACAGCGCGGCAAAACCACTGAAATAACAAAAATAACCAAATTCAAATAATTTACTTGTAATGATCATCACATCTTCTTTAATTCGTCTATTTTATTTTTAAATATGTTCAATAATTGTTCCTTACTCTGATCCTTTAGTAACATGTATTAATATTTGTTACTCTAATAAGAGAGATTTTAAAATTTGTTAATGATAATAATTATTATATACAGTCTATTTGAGAATGTTTGTGGAATTTAATTCTTCAATCAATGCATTTTGAACAATTATTTTAAAATCGCGTTCATTGTTGTTAAAATTGTTTTATAAAAGTAGAAAATTCGATTTTGGCTTTCAAATGTCTGATTTCCTTTTCGATGAGTTATTAGTAAGCAGAGTTGATTCATTGTTCGTAAACTTGATATTAAACAATTGTCTTATTTATCTCAGTCCATCTTAAGATCAGGTATTCACAGTGGACATGGAATCTATTTATTCACTTTCGTCGATCGTTTGTACTAGTGTCAAACATTCGATATTTTATTGAAAGTATAACAAAGTAAAACTTCGTAAAAACCACCCATCAAAATACCTCTAAAGACACCCCTCTCTCACTCACTCACACACACACACACACACACACACACACACACACACACACACACACACAGGTTTACCATCAAATATGAACAAAATTTCCAAAACAGGGGTTAAAGCCCCTAACCTTGTAAACTTGGCTGAGTTACCTTAGGGCAACAACTGCTACCATTGCCGTGACTGTCCGGGATCCTAGGGTTAGAGACCCGGCGGTGGCTACTAGTTAGATGGCAATGTCGAATTCAGTCGCTGTCTGCAGGAGAATTCTAATAATTGGCTGCCGTGATCAGCAGTTTTATGTGATTCCCCCCAGTTATTACCAAGGAACTGCTGAGACAGTACGTAGTATCCAAACAAACGGTCTATGGACCGCATGCCATCTTTCCTCGTGCATTACACTGCCACACATGTCGGGAGCTTAAAGCTTATCGCAGCTGGGGCGGCACCCCGCTCGCGGAGATAAGCAAATGTAGGTTGGTGCCGGATCTCACGTTCTAGCGAGGGAGGAGCACGTCTGGTAATATAATATTAACTGCACTTCAGGGACAAATGGTCAAAACTCTTGACGCACCCGGTTTCATCAGTCTTTCAATTAACCACCTAACCCATCCCGGTACCACCGGTGCTAACCCGAGCGCGTTCTTCCGCAGCATCATCGAAAAGAACGGAGGGAAACCGCCGCTGACGTACCACCAGTTCCAAACGGTGGTGGCGTCCATGGACTCGCCGCCGGCGGCCGAGCCGCGCATCACGGCGCGCGCCATCGAGGGCATCCACACGCCGCTGCACGACGACCACGACGACCGATTCGGCGTGCCCACGCTCGAGGAGCTCGGTGGGTGCACGCTGCCTTTTATTTTATTCGCTCGCCCATACATTATATATATATATATATATATATATATATATATATATATATATATATATATTTTCTGATACGTTTACTTACGTGTCGGAATAGATTAAAAAGCTCATTTTTATAACCAATATTATAAATCTTAGTCCATAAAATGTCTTTTTATATCCAATGAAATGCAGTGTACAGGCTAAAGTCAGTATAAAACCTTAAATCATGTAGGCTACATTTAAAAAATATATTAAAAATGCTTTGAGGTTAGATAAAATATTGAATATTAATCAGGACTACAAAACCATCATGTGCTCATTAGAAATTAACACTCTCACTACAGCCCCTGTGAATAAATAATGAACTAATTTCACTTAATGGTTTATTTTAACCACTTGTAAGATGAACAATTATGAAACAAATTATTGTCCAATTGCTAAAGCAAAAGTAATTGCTCACTGTAAAATAACTGTATCTATTTATGAAATGTAAAAATAATTATTATAATTTTATTCTGTTCTTGGTAACTTTACAACAATTTCATTTTCTAGAAGCTGTTTTATTAATGTATTGGTGAAAATTTTATTTCACTGCTAAAACATTTTATGAATATTTCAATGTGTCAATTTATTTACTACTACATCACATTCACAAAAACCTCAATAAAGCTATGAAAGTAGGGTTTGTTTGAGCATAAAGTGCTGATAATGATATGAAATGGGATTTATCTCTTGCAATCGATATGGGATTGCTTCAAAGGAATCATGGGTCTAATTTAAAACAAGCAAGGTGACACAAACTTCATTCTTGTCCATATTTTCCATTCTTTTTTCCATGGTTTGGAAATTCTTTCTTAATATCTAATGAACATTAATGAAAGTTTGTCCATTCATTCATTCATTCATTCATTCATTTCATAAGGTCTTGTAGAATGTTTATTTAACCAGAATTTTTTAAAAAATTAATTTTTTGGGAAGATGTGAATTATTTTTTTAAATATAGATTCATTCTAGCAATTAAATATCTTTGATGAATCTTTGCCAATAGCATTATTATGCAATGTGCATTTTGTGGGAATTTACATTATTATAAGATTTTTGTTTTATTCAGCAAAGCCATATTATGCAAGAAAGAAGGAAAGATGATTTTGGTTCTAAGATATTGAAATTTATTTAAAGTAAATTGCTTTGTAAGAAATAAAAGATAGGTTGTCTCCAGAGCTTGACAGTAATTGTGTCCACATATGAATAAAATAAGTACATAAAAATGAAACAAATTGCAACTGGAAAGCTTATCACACTGTATATTTGGAAAGGTTTCGACACGGAAGGTCTGCTGCCCCCTGTCTGGACAGGAGGAGAATCAGAAGCTTTGGCGCGCCTGGAGAGGCACCTTGAGAGGAAAGCATGGGTAGCATCATTTGGCCGGCCCAAGATGACTCCCCAATCTCTACAAGCTTCACAAACAGGACTTAGTCCATATCTTAGGTTTGGCTGTCTTTCTACCCGTCTCTTCTATTACCAATTGACAGATCTGTACAAAAAGGTTTGTAAATGTTTTTTTAAAAGAAATATTTCCAAGTTCATGTTAATTTTATGGGAAAATATTACAAAGTAATTGGGGTTGAAGAATAGCAAAAATACATAAAACATTTCTCCGGTGTCAAATGCAAAAATATATATTTATATATATATTTTTTAATATGCTCAGAAGTTTCTTTAGGGAATAATTTGGGCTTGTAGTCGCACATGATTATTAATTAGGAAGAAATTTACTCAGTGTTCTATAATTGAATCTTAAAAATTAACTTAAGACATATTTTATATCAAATTTGTCAAAATCTTTGCTTAATTTATTAGCACTGTTTCCCGATAACTTATTAGAGCAAAGGAAGAAATTAATACCTTGAAAAGATTATTGAAATTTGAAAAGATTTAAATTTCATTTCACTTAAAACTTTTTCAGATTAAAAAGGCCTGCCCACCATTATCTTTACATGGTCAGTTGTTGTGGAGAGAATTCTTCTACTGTGCTGCGACAAATAACCCCAACTTTGATCGAATGAATGGCAATCCTATTTGTGTTCAAATACCTTGGGATCGTAATCCAGAAGCCTTAGCCAAGTGGGCCACTGTAAGTATGAATGGAAGGATGAGTGAAAATATTAAAATTTTTGAAAGTATTAGTTTCATTTTTGCACACAAAAAATTGCCAAACTAATATTTTAATCAGTACTACTTTCCTGTATAAAGTCAGGTGTTATTTGTATACATACCCTTTATGAAAAGTAGCTTGTGCAATAAGTGTGTTCATGTAATTTATGTTAGAGAATTAATTTTTAATAACAAATCTAAAGGAAAAGTAGTTCATAGTTTTCAAGAATTCATATCCTTGATATGCACAATTTGTGTTTTGTTTAGATGTTATATACTCTGACCAGAGATTTTTTGTGCATAGGGCCAGACTGGATTCCCCTGGATTGATGCCATTATGACACAATTAAGAGAAGAAGGCTGGATCCACCATTTGGCTAGGCATGCTGTCGCATGCTTCCTCACTAGAGGGGATTTGTGGATTTCATGGGAAGAAGGCATGAAGGTAAATATAGTTTTAACTTTGAAATATTATTTATTCATCCAATATTTCTTAACAGTACTGCTAACGTGAAATAATGTCAAAAATATATCCCAACATATTTTGAAATAAATTTTAAATTGAAGTGTTATAGAGATAAAATATAGTATATTTTTTTTGTTAATGATTGATGAATGATTTTATATTAGTGATTGATACAAAAAATTAGTGTTTTTGTTTAAACTCCCAGTTATTACAGTTCACTTTATAACTTTATAAATATCTTTATTTCATTCAAAAGGTATTTGAAGAGCTTCTGCTTGATGCCGACTGGTCTGTAAATGCAGGAATGTGGATGTGGCTATCTTGTTCATCATTTTTTCAACAATTTTTCCACTGCTACTGCCCTGTAAGATTTGGGCGTAAAGCTGATCCAAATGGAGATTACATCAGGTAAATTTAGTTCAAATGTTCTGTTGTAAATGCATTGTATTTTTTGACGTCATACTTTTCAGGAACATTACTGTTCCAACAAATGACTTAATGTTCTCAGGTTTTCAAGGAAAATGTTTTTGAAGTTATTGAATTGCAAATTGCCAAATCAAGTTTCTACTTAAAAACAATGTTTTGGTTTTTATTATTAATAAAAGATTTTGAAGCATTTAAAAAAAAAATTGAGTTTCCAATAATAATGAATTAAAAATCCTTTTTTATATTTCTCAATTTTAAAAAAATATCTTTTACTCAGTTTTGGATATGCTTTTTTCTTTATTTATTTGTGTCAAAGATTAGTAAAACTTGTATATCAAGTTATAGTTTCAAAGTTATTGTGTTGTTTCTCTTCCTAGAAAATAAGTCTTCGAGGGGCAAAATTCAAATGTTGCCAAAGGCACTTCCAACCCTACCTATGACTCTGCATATATTTATGACATTTGCTCAATTATTCTAACATTTTCCACTTTCAAAATAATGTCAACATAAAAATTCCAAAGGCACATTGTTGTGATGAGATTAGATTATAGACTTTATGAAGTATTGAATTATTATTTAATAGAAGTATGATAGTTCATACTACTTGTATTTTTTAATGAATTGTTAATTTACATTGAAAAAGATTACTTCAACAATTCTTAGTCTATCACATTACTTTAAAGTTTTTCTGTTCATGGTCAGAGATCTTCAGATTTATAACTTGATTTGGTTTTATAAAGTGTAAATTTAAAATTTTTCACAATAATTCTTTGCACATAGATAATGCAGGATAAATGTTTGAAAAATGATTTAATATTATTTACACAAATTCACTCTGGATATTGATTATAGTGTCAGAATGACATTTTATTATTAGCATAATTTAAAATTAAACTCTGCAGTTATTTTAAATTTTCTTTAAATTCTTAAATAAAAAATGTTTGTTATATAAAAGAAAGATACAAATAAGAGATTATTCCCGATTAGTTAATTTGGAAACATCTTTGTTCATCTTGTTTGCAGAAAGTACCTGCCTGTACTGAAGAATTTTCCTGCAAAATACATTCATGAACCTTGGAATGCTCCTGAGAGTGTGCAACGTGCAGCTCGATGTATTGTGGGCAAGGAGTACTCTCTGCCTATGGTGAACCATGCTGTGGCATCCCGCATCAACATTGAGCGCATGAAGCAGGTTTATCAGCAGCTGAGCAAGTACAGGGGCCCTCCCGGTGAGCAGCCTAAAGTCTCCGCCATGGCCTGACGAATAGCGTGTATTCAAGTTCCTCACATTATATTTCTTGGTCATTCTTATTATATGTACGTATTGTATATTTTTTTGTAATTCCTCCAATATTTTCTGAAACTACAATGGAAACTCTACCAGTCCTCCACATGTACAAAAACATATATATTACTGCATATACAGTTTGCTATTCAAGAAAAAGTTTCAATTGTTTTACTTAAGAGCAAGATGATTAATATTACTGCAGTTGTCCTCTTTCTTTATATGTTGCCAAGATGGTATTATGAGAAAGAAGTCATTACATTTCTGGTTTTTTAAATAACAATTCAAAAAGGTTCAACTTACTGACTGCATTTAAAAAATATATGAAACATTGGTAGATTCATCAGATAATTAAAATATAACACTGTCAGTGTCATGAATTAAAAAGTAACTACTCTTTGTAAAGCAATTGTTTCCTTACCTTCTCATAACCAGAGGCTAATTAAAAAGGTTTGAATAATTTTAAGAATGAAGTCTCTAGTAGCTCCTCTTTGTATATAATCAAATAGTATGAAATAACAATAAAATCAAGTACAAAAAAAATGTTTGTTCTTGTACTTGTTCATCAAATTCAATAAAAAATATTTTCATAAATCCTTTTTCATCATTTTTAAGGATAAAAGATTACTTTTCTTTTTTAAGTTGAAGGCCAAAGATTTGATGATATCTTTGGCAAAAATCAGCTATAAAAAATATTCAATTGACATTTGTGTTCTTCGTAATAAAATTGGTACACCACATTTTAATTAAATATTTGGGATTTGCAGGCCTTCTGGCAGCAGTTCCATCAAGTCAGCAACCTAACAGGCAGAGCAACACTAATAATCCTTGCAGCAAGTATGGAAGTGGTGGTTTGGGCCGCATCAAACAAGAAGAAGGAGACATAGTCTCAGATCAAGAAGGCAAAGAAAATAATCATAAGCACCATCACACACTTCACAGTTTAAATCAACAGCACAATTAAATGATTTCAGAAATATTTGAGACAACGAGAAAATCTGTTTATATGTACATTCATGTGTGGATTGCGCTGAGTGTCATCGTTGGTGCAAAATTAAACAATTATACATCCTCTAGGATGTGTTTTAAATGATTGCTGGGTTTTGTACAGCAGAGACAACTATTATCACATGTTCTTTCATTATTCAACATCGAACACTGCGTACGTTTTGGTAATGAAGGACATCTAAATAAGTGAAAAAAGTAATAGAGATACTTAGTATCTTGACAATACAAGAATGTAAGACTGGCTCAAGACTGCATTTTAGTGAGTTGTTTTTTCTGTTAGCCAAAGGAATGATCATTGTGCATGAAGCAGAGAAAACTGAAGTATAAAGTTTATTTATATGACAAGAGACTTAAAGCTTTGTCTAGGTGGCATCTACATTCCCATGAACAGATATCACAAAGAAGATGAAGAAATAGAAGAGAATTAATTTATTTTCAAACCTTTGTTCATTTGATGGGAGGATTTTCTTAAGGCAACAAGTCATCAAATCAAACATCAAAATCTGCTATGAATCCTGTCATTGATCTAATTAGTTATGTAAATTAAATGTACATATTGAAACTTGTGTTCCCATCATGTGATCTTTTGTGTCAGTGATGATATGTATGTTGTGATGAAATACATTGTTGTGATGTACTGAAGTACAAACATGTAAATTTTCATACCTGTTCTTGACTACTAATTTTGTGTAATTTAAAAATTTAATACATGATCATCACTTTTGTATATCCATTTTCTTTAATTTCCTTTTGTGTATCCTACAAATTTCTACTTAAAAAGGAGAACATTTTCTCAGCATGTAGAGAAGAATTTTGTAGATAATTCATAGCTCATGTTTAAGACTGAGAGACACTTGTGTTTTTATGTGAACAAGAGATAGTTTTGAAGATGATGATTTGGTTAACTTAATTTTATTTCATGGAGGTACTATTGTATTATGACAAAGAGATAAATTTTAAACTCACCGGAATATTGCATTGGATGAAAATTCAATTGGTAAGAAATGCACATCAACTGCTTTGTTCATTTGTCTCTTAAGTATAGTTCATGTAATAGTGAGACAGGTGATGGTGTTCATCCTCTGCTGGAACATGAGATCTGCTGCCACATACCTGTCGGTTTGCCAGGATTTCCTACTTCCAAGTATTTTCCCCAGTAGGACACTGCCTCTGCCAAAGTTAAGCTCTAAGCTCCTGTCTGGTCTCGACGCATTTGATAGTTTAGTGCATGTTAATGTGTGTAAAGAATGAGTCTTTGGCCTCTTTGTTAGGGTATTGCTCTGGCACTCATCAGGTATTAATCAGAGGAACCATGGAAAACTTTTGATCAGATCAGCTGACTGCAGGAGTCCTCCTCCAAACAGTAACTTATTTGAGCTAGTTGAAAATCTGCCTCCATCGGGACTGGAACCCTAGGACTGCCAGGTTTGAGATGCTTCAGCATCATGGCTGTTTACCTTAATCATATTAGTGTCAAATTCAGACCTAAGGGATTTTAACTTAGAGGGTAGAGCCTACTCACATCGCACCCTAGATCATGCAGCACTCTTTAAAACCAAACAACTTAAATGCTAGAAAATGAAGGAAATAACCATATATTTTTTAACATTTATCATCTAGTTTTTTTGTTTTACAATAATAATATTCACTAAGTATTTGCTGAATTTATTATTATTCCTTGTTTTTATTATTTTATACATCATGTAATCAAATGTAGCACTTAACTACTTTTTTGTCAGATCTCTGTGGAAAAAAAATAGCAGGTTGGAAAAAATTGAAGAAACTGTTTTATGTCAGGACATAAACAATTTAGTATGAACTAGTAATACTACAAGATTTTCACTAGTAAATGGGATCCTCCTCCTTTGGACCCATCAAATATTTCCCTGTTCTTTGGGCGTAAAATGAAGGAAAAGGTAGAGTCTTACAATCAAAAGTGCTTTTGTAATCAAAGTATGTGATATTATTGCTTCTACTTGTTTTTAAAGCAAAAAGAGTCCATAAATGTTTCAAAGCAGTTCAAGGCCTTGTAATCTAATTTTCCTCTTCAGTTGTCTCTATCAAACCACTGACCAATTTGAACTTCTAATATTAAATCAAAACTATAATAAGGGATAGAATTATTTTTAAAAGCCTGGGCAAAACAATTTGTTTTATGTATATCATAGTTATGATGACTTGTAACCAATAGTATTTACAATAGTCAGACGTGTAATGACACTTGCAAATAATGTAATAAAATCGTGTTTTCCTTTCATTTACAGAATTTCAAATACCGGCTGCCAGAAACAACAAATTGTTATGATAACCAACCAACAACCTGTTATGAACAAATCATAATGTAACAAGTCTTGTTACAATAAGAAATTGTTACGAACTGTTTTCTCTAACCAGCCATCTCCCTGCAGCGAGGCATTACCCCAGCCGAGACATGCTCTGGGCTCCCGTCATGTGTGGTAGTGTAGCGGATGAAGTGTAAGTGTGTGTAAGAGGTGAGAATAGGACAATGAAGAGGAAGGAAATACTGCGCGCGGTCTGTGGCCCGCTTGATAGGGTACTGCCCCGGAATTCTCTGGTGTTGATCGGAGAAACCACGGAATATCGCGTCTATAGACAAGGCCATTATTCCCGTAAGTGGTGTGCATTTTTTATCGCGGAAGGTGGCGGAGATCTTCCGTAGCTGAGTGGCGACATCCACCGACCTACACATTAGCTTACGGGGATTTCCCTCAAAAGGAATCTCCCACCAGAGGGACACGCTAAGTAAAGGCTGAGGATAGGACAAGGCAGAGGAAAGAAAGGTCGCATGAGGTTCGTGATCCGTTTATTAAAGTACTGCTCTGGCATTTGCCTAGATCAGAGAAACCACAGAAAATTACATATTAGAGTAGCCGGCTGCTAGAATTCTCCTCCAGACAAGATATTCGAATTCGACCAAGCTATGTAGCTAGCGTCGTAAATCCTGCCACCGTTGTCTCGAACCCTAGGAACTCGCAGCCTTAGAGCCTTTGTGGCGACGATGCGGTGCCCATTAGCGCATCGGACTGGTATACCAAAGTTCGCGGGATTCAAAACCGATCGAAGCCGGAGACGAGAGTATTCTTCGTACGCCTTCTTTAAGCAAAGTAAAGCCGACTTTCCCATGTTAGTAGATTTACTGCATTTTCCGAAATTTTCTCAAAAATTGTAGGGTAATATACGTAGTGTAGAGAGAGTTATGTAATGCACCGACATATAAAATGATGCTGGTTGCATTATGATTCAGCTCTTTAGATTTTTTAAAATTGCAAAATTTAAACTTTTTTTCGGCGTCTTCCTGCAACTACAATATTGAAGATAAAAAATAGTTCGTAATAGATTTTTTCATCAAAAATAGATACTTGAAATTAGGTCATGTTGAATTTTTCGAAAATATGAGTAATTTTTGCGTGAAACAGACGATTTTGAAAAAAAAAATTCTCAAAACCGGCTTTATTTCTTTTTCTTCAATTCTTTCCTAGCAAAGGATGGCGAAGAAGGTGCTACTTTTGGAAAATACGTCTAGAGTATTCTTACAATTAAATACAATTAAAATCGCGTGCATCACAAACACACTCCTAATGTCAGGCGACAGGTTTAATATTCCAGATTACAACTCTTACCGCAACGATAGAACGATCTTTAATATAGCCTCAGGTGTGGCAATACTCATATAAAAAAATCTTAAACAAGAACAAATTCCGACACCATTTTCCAATAACCTTGAAACAGTCGGAATTAAAACAAATATCAGTAATAAAACAGTAAATCTAATAGCAGCTTATAAGTCCCCCCAACAGAAAGTTCCTGATAAAATCATATAAACAAATATTAGTACAACCATCCCATTAGGAGACCTTAATAGTAAAGGCACTGCCTGGGGCTATAATACTACATCTTGGCACGGTAAAAAACTATTAGAATTACGTGACCATCAATAACATTGAGATAATGGCTCTAATCGAGCCGACACGATAACCATCTAATCCAAATGTCGTACCAGTTAGCACAGATATTATCCTGACTAGAAACATAACGTTCCCCCTATCTAAATGTTCTAAACGAACTTGACTCAGATCACTGTCCAAAAGTCGTATCCTTGCCTGCCCCAATGCAGCAACACGCCGTTAACAACATTTTAAGAGGAATCACAAATCTGCTAATAAAATGACCTACAATACTCGTATCCGTATAAAATTAAAAATGTTAATGACATCGATAATCAAATTGAAAGATTTTCTAAAGTATCATTCACTCATTAAAATAACCCACCATACCACACTACCAACCAAAAAAAAATAATAACCATTATCCATTAATATTAACGTGATTAAATCCAAAAATAATCTGAGTCGATACTGGAAAAGTACTAGAAAGTATATTAAAAGAAAAGTTAATAAACTAACAAGACTTATTAAAACTCACTTAGATCAATTAATATATTCCTATAATAAGAGTTTTATAGAAGAAATACCCACAAAAACAGACACACATGGCTACGCATCAACAAGGATGAAACAAAAAATCACCCATTGCAACTAGGTTCAAATATAGCTTATTCCGATAAGGATATAGCCAAAATTATAGCTAAACACCTGGAAGATGCATCCTGTGACAAGGTTGAGAATTGACGAAATCATCAATGCTTGCGTTAAGAAAAGATGTTAAATAAATAAACTGGTACAGTATTGATTGATTGCAGCAATCTTTAATGCGTCACTGCGTCTTAACTACTTCCCAATAGCATGGAAAAGGACAATTATAATTCCATTTCGCAAACCAAAGAAAGATTCCAGATATGCTGAAAATTATATACCCATCAGTCTCTTATCTACGTTTTACAAAATTATTGAAAATTGATTTTCACTAACTTAATGTATTAACTTAAAAATGTTCACCCTATGTAGACCACGAAATCCAACTGAACTGATACTAGGCACGAGACTACCATGGGCCTTCTCACCAATAAAATAACTAGGCTTTTGATTTGATAAAAGGTTTGACATGGAAACCGCACATCAAATCCCGTAGCAAATAAAACAAAAGTAAAAAATTCAAAATTATTTCCCGTACTAAACCAGCGCTCTACATTGAAAATCGAATGACGACTGCTACTATTCAAATTAATCATCCTTCCTACCATTACTTATGGATGCAAAATCTCGGGAGGTGCAGCTCCTACCAATATCAACAAGATTAAAGTAATACAAAATATATTTCTAAGAAATACCCTAAATGCTCGTTGGTTAATTACAAATAAACAAATTGATCGCGAAGTAAAAATACCAAAACTAGAAGAAACCATAGCCAAATTAGCTAACAATTTTTACAATAACCTACATACCTCCCTAAGTACATAATTTTTACCATAAGAAAGAAGGCGGTCTATCCACGGATGAAGCCAAGATTTTCCAAAGATAGATTCAAACCACCGTAAACCATAACAGCCTCAGCTCCTTAACATCCCCCTACCCTCCTCTTTTTATTCAATAATTCATTTTAATCAACAATTCAGTGAGAATACAAACCGCATATACCTTATGGATGGCCAATCTCATTCTTCCAAACTGGATATTCCCCGGTCGATCTGACTCTACTTGAAGGTTTGAGATTTTGAAAATCATTCTTTAAAATTTTGGGGTAATTTACATGAAGCCTAGGACACTTGCACAATTTTCTAAAAAATGGCTCCAATTTTTTAATGTTTTGAA